TAAACTCCTGATTTGCTGAGTTCCAGAGAGCAGGCTCCTTTGAAGTCTTTTGCTCTGCTGTGTTTGCTGTAACCTAATGTATTGGCTGACTACAATTGCACCCTTGTAACAGTTGAAATTGGAAGGTGGAAATGGAGATCCTGTTGATGTATCTCTTAAGTTACAAGGCTTTCTATGGAGATAATAAGTTAGTTAAAGGCTTTTGCTATGAGAGGCTCTTATCCCTTGGGGAAAAAAGTGTGCTGTGATGGGAAGGTTGAGTTCACTTCAAGGATTTAAAGACCCTTATACTGCTGATCATTTCACTACTATGTTGTGGTTTTCTGTGTCTACCTGGATTAGGAAAATGGCTCCCAGCCACATCTTCTGTGCCTGTCTAAGTGGTAAACCTAAACTTCCATCAGGCTCAGCTTTTGATCTTGGAAGGTGCTTAAGGAGCAGAAAAGTCTTCTGCTGGGCTGACACAGTTTTAAAAGTAATGTGCTGAATCTAATCTAGCACCCTGGCAGCACTCTACAGCTCAGCGAAACATTGTGCAATTCCCCTTTTAAAAATAGATCAGTGCCTAGTGGGGGCTGGGTGCACAGAGACCTTGGGGCCCAAAGTTATTCCTAATGTATTTGGCTTGTAGTTTTTTAAGGAATAAGTCTCCTGTCTCTTTATAGTTGCGAAGAAAACTGGCTTGTGCCCGCAGAGACTAAAAATGAAAACACCATTTCAGAGAGAAGGGACCTGCTCCTTTGTATCTCAGTGGAGGCAACTGTGTTAATTTAAATCCAGCTCTGCAAGGCATTTACTGCAGGCCAAACTAACATAAACATGAAGTGATGGGCTTATACATGCTGCTTGTGACCTGCTGGGACAAGGGGTAGCAGGCCAGCAGTAGCATAGCTAGGGGTGGGTGACTAGGGCATTAGCCGCAGGGGCTGGCTTGGGGGAGTGAAAGAATGACCATTGCCCAAGGTGCAAGCTTCCTAGCTAAGTAATGCCTTTGCAGGGTAAGAGAGAAAAATTGATTGCCTTCCCTCTCCCACTGTGAGACCAGTCTATTCTCTTGCCCTCCAAGGCTGCCCCCTGCTTTTTGCTGGTGGTAATGTCCCAGCTCTCCCTTACTCTAGGTCTCCTGAAACAACTTGGGGAACACTCCTAAAACCAGTGTAGAACTAATGGGAAAATATCCATGTAGCAAATACAAGGGACACTGTAGTGTTGGATAGTTTTATTATTAATACTCGATTCACTCAAATCCCCTAGTTTGCATGTAGCTGCTGAAGCCCCAGAATGTATCATTTGCTACACTAGAATGCCATGGAAACCTGGCTGCAGCCTGCTGCCAGGACATGGGGCCTGGCTCCAAAAGAGTCTAGAAGGAGGGGGGTGGGGGAAAGAGCCTGTCCCTGTAGACTCTGGAGGTCTGTGGAGGGAGAGGCCGAGGCTGATGGGAACGTGCAAAGATCAGAGAAGTCCAATTTCTGTGTTTTGCAGAAGCTCAGCGTGGAAAACAGTTTGTCCTTAAGGCTACAAGGGCGTGAGCAGTTCTACCTAAACCATGAACACCTATAATATAATTTAGGTCTAGTTTGTCAAGCAAGAAACAGTCATTTGAATATAGCTTATTCTCTCCAGTCAAACAAGATGAAAAGGGCTCAGCATGTTATGCTTTGTGGCCACAGCAGCGTTCGACAATAACCTTCTGTGGTTTTGTTCATGCAAGCACAAATTTCTCTGCAGCTGTACAGCTGTCTGAGGGCTACTTCTCAGAGCAATGGGTCCCAGGACTCCTGGATTCTCTCCACGGCCTGGGAGGAGGGGTGGCCTCAGCCTGCTGTTTTTAGGTTACTTCTGTTCTGATGAATTCCATTCAGTGACCAGGCATCAGATACCAATGACAAGCCCTGGCTAATAAAAGAATCACAGTGGCGGCAAATTTGGCTTTAAGTGTTTCCTCTTTTTTCAGATCCCAAACAGGCAAAAAGATGAGGCTTATCGTGCATAAATAGTGCCAGGATGCTGTAGTGACACTGATATATTTTAAATCGCCAAAACTCTCAAACTGGGAACCGTAGGGCAGATTCCAGTCAGTTTGCTGTGGAGGTGGAGAGCTGGATGATGGAAGATTATAAATTATGTAGGAGTCAAGCATTAAAGGTGCAAAGCACAGAACTTGCAGGACATGTGAGGGTTAGGCCAACGTGCAACCAGAGTTCTGGAGTTTGCTCCTCCATCCTCAAAATCCTTCTCGGATTCACCCAGATTTCTACAGTGGGAGAAATGTAGGGCTGAGGGGGACTTTAGGACATCTCACGGATGAATTGTATTGAGGGAGAATCAAGTATAGTTAGAAAGGAAGCATTTCACCCTGTGTAATTAGGATTTGTTTGCTTAGCAATGAATGGAGCTGTTGACCTCAAAGTGAGAGATCTGTATGGAGGAGAAAGGGCTGTCTGTGAAACTGGCCCAGGAAACCAGAAGTTGCTCTGGATCAGGCTACCTATGAACCAGGGTGTGCTTTCTGGCCTGGAGACACTACTAACCTTTCAGTCCTTCTGCCAGTGACACCATCCCCAGCTCTAATGAGTTGTTGCCCAAGGTACTGAGGAAGGGCTGGAGACAGGAAGCTAGATATATTACTCGCATTTGTGTCTTAGCTTTTCACTCTTACCTCAAGACACCATCTACATTGCTCAAAATAACCTGTGACCACTACCAAACCAACCAGACCACATCCCCTAGTGAGCAGATGATATACTGGAGACAGGAGGCAGGGGTTGTGTTTGTGTTTGGGGCACACACAGTAAGGTACCTCCAGTCCTTGCATCAGAGACCAGAGCAATGAGTCCCAGGACTCCTAGGTTCTCTCCACAGCCCTGAGAGAGGAGGGACAGCCTCAGGCTGCTGTTTTTAGGCTGCTTCTGGCTCCATTCTTCTCAGAGCCAGAAGCTCCCTAGCCATTCCCCTGAGGTGCTTATGGGGCACACAGAGAAGTGCAGAGGTAACAGGATAGAGGGACAAGTCCTTGTTCCCCTCCTGAACATGATATTGATCGTTGCCTGAAGAGCAAGCCCCTAGACACTTCACCAGGGCAACCAATTCAACCATACAGGCTTTCCCCATGGGTTCCCCTCCCTGCAGCCTTTTCTTCAGGCCCCTAAGCCTTGCTCCTTGCTCCCTACCCCTGTCTTCCCCATCAAGCCTTTCCCCTTTTCAGTTGCTTTCCCCTCCACCCGTATCTTTGTATTTTCATCCTCTCAGTCTGCTCCCCTCCTTGTGTCCTCAGGCCCTACGCTTCCTAGTTCCCCCAGGATCTTGGGGCAGGTGCACGTTGAGGATGTAACCTCTTGGACAGGTGAGTCTGGATGTGGGGGTTGGAAGGGTTGGCTTTAATTTGGGGTGAAGACTGGAGAGGGTGACCACAACCCACAGCAACAGAATCCCATTTTTGTGTCTCAGATCCCTTGCATGGGCACATGCCCTGGTCTCAGCTCTCCTCCTTGGATGTTTTCCCTGGCCTCAGGTCCCCTGATGGGCACATGCCTTGCTGTCCAATTATTTGTGTAGGAACAGGATAAGGAGTTCAAACATGATGAGCACAGCACCACCACCAATACCTCCAGCCCTGGCCTGAATTGGTCCCTGATTGAGGAACTGTGGGAAGCGACCTCGCCTGAGGAAGGCCCAGTGTCCTCAGCTTCCCCGTGTCTGCCAGCTTCCTCCTGAGTCCTGACTCGATCTGTCATGTTCAGAACAATCCAAGGTCTCAGCTGCCCTGACTAGCTGCATCCCCCTCCCGTCTTAGTAGGGCCTTAGTCCTCATGGGACTGGGCACTGGGCCAGACCCAGCACAGGGTCAATCTCTGAAAGTGCCAAGATGTGAGTGCTGCCTCCCACACCAGCAGAGCCAGCAGCCCTCACTCCAGGCTCTGAGGATGGGTCCTAAGGAATCCATGCAGGCATTGTACATAATCCCTCCATGCATCCACCCATCCCTCCTCCCATGTAGCCATTAATATCCATGTTCCCAGTGAAGGAATCGTGAGGCACAGTGGAGGTCTCCTTCTGAGGGCAAGGGCTGAGTTGGGAATGAATGGTTGGGGCCAAGTTTGGTGTAAGCCAATTTCAGATTTAGTGGACTGAATGAATGCTGGGTGAATTCTGATAAGGGGGTTCAATTTCAAAGTTGAGCTTGGGAGTGAACTCATTGTTGGGAGAGCTGACCCTCAATTTGGAATGATGGTCAGGGGCAAAGGTGCACATAGCCAGTGCAGGGCTGGGGTGGGGTCTCGGGGTTCACCTAGTGCGGCTCACTCTCTATTTGGGAGGTGAAGATTTGAGGAGCTCACTAACGTTTGGGGTGAAGGATCCCTAGGCTGTCTCTTACCCATATGGGGTTTACGCCATCTTATGACAGCTTCTGGATGAAAACTGGGGAGTGGAACTCTGAGGGCTTCTTTCCACTGGGAGACCAGCATGGATTAAAGAAGGGCCTGATTTTTTTCAGGTGCAGCAGCTCTGCTTGAAGGTTTCTGCATGTGAAAGTGTGAAAGATGGCCCCTGGCACTGGAAGGAGAGATGTCCATCCATGGAACTGGCCATTGGCTCAGACTCCAAGGAAGTTCCAGTCCACCCCAGTGTCACCACCTCATTTGAAACACCATGAGATCTCTTCATGGGGGAGGGATGTAGATAATTTCTGGCTTGATTGCTGAGTCTTTAGCAAGGCTAGCACAGATTTAGGCCACAGAGAGATGGGGGCTTTCCCCTCAGGCTCTTTACAAGAGGGAACCCCACTCCTCACCCTTGGGAAGTGGGTGCTGTTGGTCCACCTGCCTTCTCTCCTCTGCTGCTGCTGTGGCCCCCCACCTGTATCAGGAAGCGAGGGCCTCATCTAGGGTCTGTGTTGCACCCAGTATTACAGGGACCCTGATCTCAGCCAGGGCCTGAGCATACTGAGGACACTGGATTGGGGAAGAGGGCAGAGTGAAACATGAGACACATGCATATACCCTGAGGCATCCCCTTGTCTTTATTAAAGCCCTGTCCCTTGTCCATGCAACACAGGGGCAGTGAGAAGTACCATGCAAGTACGCCTTTCCTTTCCTCTATCCAGGCTTATCCTCTCCTAGCTGGGAGACCTGCAGGTCTTAAGTTGTGGAGGGCTGGTGACTCCAGGCCTCCTGCCCTGAGCCTCCATCCCAGACAGACTTGGGCAGCAGCAGCCAGGTTGCAGCAGAGTCTGGGGAGACAGGGCCATGGAAACCCGAACTGAAGAGAATGACAGTAGTGGAGTGGGGAGGGAGGTGGGATAGCTCAGACTGAGGACACCCTAGCAGGGATATCTTGTGGAGGGCATTACTCAGACTGATAGGAGCTCCAGAGGTGACTCCTCTGGGCCTTAGGGGGTGGGGACCCTGGCAGAGGGCTGTCTGGGGTGAGCAGTCTTCTCCTTTTGTCAGCTGCATTGCCAGGTCTATGAACCTCTGCAGGGAGAGAGAAAGAACACAGTCATGGGGGCCAGCATGGAAACAAGAGAGATCCCCCTCATCTCCCCCTCCTCCACCACACATATAGCTTCCCTAAGAGGGGGTCCAGCTGCCCATGATCAATGGGGTGTCAGCTCTTGTTTCCTTCCCACCTACATCCCAGACTGCATGCAGTACTGGAGGTAGCAGAAGAGGAGAGCTAAAAGCATGAAAGGGACAGCCCCCCTCCTACCTCCATGGGCTCTTCAAAGAGGTGGGGGAGAGGATCAGGGATCCAGTAAGAGACAGAAGGCAGTGTGGTCTCAGTGCCCAACCCATGGCAGGGAGCAAAAACAAAAATCCAGCTGTCTGTGGGGGCTTGTCAGGACACCTGTGTTTTATCCTAGTTCTTTGAGGATACTGGAGTCCTCAGCATAACTGTCTCTGAGGACCTGCTTACCAGGCTCAGCTCTCTGGGCATCTCTCCTCCCAGCAGGCATGGGTCACAAAGAGCAGGGCCAGCAGGAGAATGACTGCCCCCAGCCCCAGCCGCACCACGTTGGCCTTGGTGTAGTCAGTGTCCCGGATGCGTGAGCCTGAAGAGGGTATAGGAAATGGGACACAGAATAGCACCCATGATTAGAGAACACACAGGTCCTCCAAAGGAACCAGTCCACATGCAGGTTTCCTGATGTGGAATCTAGGTGTCCTGGATCCTAGGCCCCTGATGTTAACCCACCAGATCCCACTCCTCTCCCAGAGCTGCTATAGAACCCAGGTGTCCTGGCTCCCAGCCCTCTGCTCTAACCACTACCATCCCTCACCCTTCTCAGAAATGGGAATAACCCCCTTTCTATCTGAGTCCCTCTCCTAAGACTCCACCAGCCCATCCTGTTCATACAGTGCCACACAGATTAATCCTTGAGTTGCTGGATTCAACTGCCCCATCCTCTGCTCACCTTGGGTCCATGTGTCTGTATCATTGAGAGTCATGTTGGCTCTGGCCTCAGGCTCATCCATCCCATAGCGGCAGATGAAGACCCCCCCAGGGCTCAGAGCCTCCTCCTCAGGGAGACTGAAGCCAGCTGGAGCATCATCCACTGGGAAAGCTGTGATCCAGGCCAGGGGCAGCGGATCTCCATCACGGTAGAGGTAGAACCAGCCCCTCACAGAGTCAGTAAAAGGCATGGAGCAGTTCACCCGGAGCTTCCCGGCTGTGTCCACAAGCTTCTCCTGGGTGCTGGGAACATCTGGAATAGTAAGACACTGTGACCACCACACCATGACTGTCCCGCCTGCAGGGGCCAGCCAGACCTGATACCTTAGTGGGGTCACTGGCCTGCAGTGGAACCACAGCTCAACCCCACAAGCACTGGGAGGTTTTCCGTGTCCATGGTGCTGAGGGCTAAGGGATAGGAAGGAAATGCAGGGCTCCCACAATACACTGGAAAGCAGTTAGCCAACAGCCCTCACTCCAGGCTCTGGGAGTGGGCCTTAAGGAATCCATATAAGCATCATACATAACCCCTCCATGTATCCACCCATCTCTCCTCCCATGTAGCCATTAATCTCCATGTTCCCATCCACAGCCCTCCTCCCCTGCAATCCATTCATCCAACCAACCTTAAACACAGCTTTCCGTCGCCAAGCACCATTAATGTATTCCCATACGCACCCCTCTTACACCCCCTCCACCTGTTAGAATCACAGAAAATGAAGGTTGGAAGGGACCTCAGGAGGCCATCTAGTCCAAGCTCCTGCTCAAAGCAGGACCATCCCCAACTATATCATCCCAACCAAGGCTTTGTTCTATTCAGCTGTTAAAAAACCTCCAAGGATGGAGAGTCCACAACCTCTCTGGGTAACCTGTTCCAGTGTTTTACTACCCTTTCTCCCAGTGAGAAAGTTTTTCTTAATATCTAACCTAAACTTCCTGTGTTGCAACTTGAGATTGTTGCTGTTTTTTCTGTCATCTGCTACCACTGAGAACAGTCCAGCTCCATTCTCTTTGGAACTCCCCTTCAGGTAGCTGAAGGCTGCTATTAAATCCCACCGAAGTCTTCTCTTCTGCAGACTAAATATGCCCAGTTCCCTCAGACTCTCTTCATAAGTCATGTGCCCCAGCTCCCTGATCATTTTTGTTGCCCTTCATTGGACTCTCTCCAATTTGTCCACATCCTTTCTATAGTGGGGGCACCAAAACTGGATATGTCTTCTAGGTGTGGCCTCACCAGTGTCGAATAAGTTCTTCCATCCATTCTCATGTAACTCAAGCATCCCTTCCTTGACCTAGCCAATCTTCCATCACCATGTACAACCAATTCATAATCTTCCCCCATCTCTCTTAGTGATATACCTGCCTCCTGGGACACAGACAGGAGATACTTTATTTCAGGGTAATCTGCCTGCACTCTGGTATAAGTGTGGAGTGATCATACAATGTACAGCCCTGCCCTGGGCTACAGCACTGCACTCTGGGATAATACTATGCTTTGGGAAGTAGGAGTAACTCTATACAGGTGCCAGCTACATGGGTCTACAGGTCAGTGCCAGCCAGCTTCCTCCTCATATAACCTTTCTCAAGGCTTCCCTGCCATCTAGTGGCAAAACTCTTCCATAGCAATACCCTGAACTGGGCTGTAACTAGCATCACCCACCAAGTCACACCAAGCAGAAGACAAGGTAAAGAGGACCCCTGGCAGATGTACAGGTAAAGGCATGATGGGATCCTACAACTGCACTTCCTTCCATGCCACATGTGCATAGCAGGAGGCATGATTGTGGGATACAGCATTAGCTCCTATCACACCTTATTGTTAGTGTAGGGGGAGCCTGGGATCACAATCCCAGGCTGGGAGGTCCATCAGCTGAATGGCCTCCCAGCCACAGAAGTTCACCCCACAGCTGGGAGTCCCAGCCTGGCTGCGTGTTCATTTAATGGTGTGATAGGAACCAACAACAAAGTTATTACACATTTTTTGTATAACAATTTTATGGCTTATTCCTCATTTTCTGACGCTATTAACTGCATTAACATATGGCTGGGTAACAACTTAAGATGTGATTCATTAGTAAATCATGTCCTAAAGTGTAATGTGCACTAGGGGCCTTACAGACCAGTGATTCTCAACCAAAGTGCTGTGTCACTCTGCGGTGCCTTGACATCCTTTCAAAGGTGCTGTGGGGTGCTGCAAAATGCACTGTTAGGTGTGCAAAAATATCATTCACAAGATAAACCCAGAGATACCAAATAGGAATCTATGGTGTTAAAAACATTCTGCCCTGTTGGCATCTTTCTGAGTTCTCTGCAGCAGCAGAACTGCTCTATTTATTTTTTGTAGCAAAAAAATGAGCAAAACAAAGAGTCAGCATCTTCCCAGGGGGGCTTGAGTCTAATGAAGGGGACCTTTGAGTAAAATGTTATAGACCAAGGGAATCAGAGGTGCACAAGCTTTCATGAGACACGGCTCATTCAATCAGATGCTATGGAAGGACAAGCAGAAAGCAGGATATTCAACAGAAGTAGTAATTTAAATACAAAACTAGGAAAGGGGGGAAGGAAGGAAGAAGAGAGGGCAGTGCAGAGAGGCAGAAGGGGATGGAAAGAACACAGGCTTTATGTGTTGTGTCTGAAACCTTGGAAATGAACTGAGAAAAAGGTGCAGAGAGGGAAAAGGCTCCTGCCCCATTCCTACCCTCTGAGCCAGCCTGTTCCCCAGCCCTGGGGCTGGAATAGGGCCAACATCCCCTGCAGGGGAAAGGCCCCTGCCCCATTGCCAAGCCCCTACCTGTGACTCTCAGTTCCACGGGGACACTTGCATTGGACCAGACGAAGGGCTCAGCCGTAGTGTGGTAGTAGCAGGTGTATCTCCCTGCATCAGCAGCACTTGCTTCGCTCAGGTGGAACTCAGCTGTGGGGGGCTCACCCTGGGGTGCCTCTTCCCTCCAGAACTCCCGCTGCCGGTACAGGACGAAACTCATGCCTGGATATGGGGCCCAGCACTGGATTGTCCATGCCTGGCCAGGCAGAACCTCTGTGCCAGGCCTGACAGCAATGGAGGGCTTGGGGAGGCGGTCTGCACTCAGGATGGGGAGGAGGGAGTCAGGAAGGATCATGTGATGAGTCCAGAGACCCACAGGCCCACCCAACCCAGTGCCCCATCCCCTTCCTGCTGCACCCAGATCAACCCCATGAGTTCTGGGGGAGGTCCAGAGAGGTGCAATGATAGTCACATCCCCCTTACTTCCTGCTCCACCCAAACTTTAAAAACAACAGCCTTGGAGGGGCAGCAGCATTTCTACTCAGACAGAGCAGAGAAAGTCAATTGACTCCATGGCTCATTGTCATCTCCCTGATTCCTGCTTATTAGGTCTGTGCGAAGCTTTGGACTGTGCTTCAGATCCGGAGAAGCTTTGGACACTTTGGTGTCCGAAGCAGCATGCTTGGATTAAAGTGCTGGCTTTGTTAGGCTTTCCAAAGCAGTTTGGAGCTTCCGAAGTGCTTTGGAGCCACTTCGGAGATCCAGTCATAGGGTATAATGGGGAATCAATGAAATATCTATAACTTTGTTGTTTTTTTGTCTGATTTGGATGACATTTGCTGGGATGATAGCCTCAGCTGACAGCATGAAGTCTGCAAAGTGTCAAGGTGATAGGTGCAGGGATTCAGGGGGAACTGCACCCCAAATTCATGAAAGAAAACTCGTATCATGTCTATGTGTTACAACACAGGGGGGTGAAAACTGCAGGGGTGGTAGCCGCTGGTGAGGCCACAAAGCCTGCCAAGTTTCAAGAAGATTGGTGCAGGGGTTTGGGGGGAACTGCACCTCAAGCTGCTGACAGGTAAAACTCGTGACACAGATGACCCTGTGTGTGTTAAGGTGCAGTGGGCTGGGGTGGTGGCCCCTGCTGAGGCCACAAAGCCTGCCAAGTTTCAAGGAGATAAGTGCAGGGGTTTGGGGGAAACTGCACCTCAAGCTGCAGACAAGCAAAACTCGTGACATGGGTGACACTGTGTATTAAGGTGCAGCAGGATGAAAGCTGCAGGGATGGTAGCCCCTGCTGCGGCCACAAAGCCTGACAGCTGTCAAGGAGATCGGTGCAGGGAGGTTCTGGGGCCCTGCACCCCTAGCTGCTGACAGGCAAAACTCGTGACATGGGTGCTTGTGCAACTGTGTCTGTCTTGGGGCCAGGGCATGGGGCAGGTGGAGGGGGGAAACTACTGCAGGCCTAGTTGCTAAGCTACTGCGTTACCAGTTACCAGTCAATCATGATTCACTCAGGGACCAGCTCAATACACAATTGCTAGCTAATGCAACCAGTTAATTAGCAACAATTAACACTTACAAAATCACAGACTAAGGAGAGGAAATAATCAATACAGACAATCAACTGCCCCAAGACAGAGACAGTCAGTTGCACCAGCACCCATGTCACAAGTTTTGTGTGTCAGCAGCTATGGGTGCAGGGCCCCAGAACCCAGAACCCCTGCACCTATCTCTTTGACAGCTGGTGGGCTTTGTGGCCACAGCAGGGGCTATTATCCTTGCAGCTTTCACTCTGCTGCGCCTTAACACAAACAGTGTCACCCATGTCACGAGTTTTGCTTGTCCACAGCTTGAGGTGCAGGTTTGATTCTGAAGCCGCGCTGAGGACCAGAGAGAGGGTGGGGGAGCCAAGGCCAGCCGTGCTGGTCCCTGCAAGAGGCAGAACAGCAGCAACGTGGGGCATTAGTTGGTGGCACTCCATCCCAGCCCCCTTCCCCCATCATTCTTGACGGGCAATTGGTTAGTCGTTATATATAATCTAACAGATCAGTGCCTGTTCCAGTGGCTATACTTGTATGGTGCTAGCTCCTCCGCATATTAGTAAAGTATCTAGCTTCTCTCTAACTGGAGAAAAACATGTGATGTGTCCCATGTGATGATGTGCCACACCATCTGCACCCCCTTTTTGAAAACACTAGGTCCACCCACGGAGGGGCCCATCCACTCTGGCATCTGGGTTGGGCACTGAGACCTCCCTGCCCCCAAGGTCACGCCCATGGGACTCACCACTGGTGATGTTAGTGGCATCACTGAGCAGGGATTCCATCTGCTCCCCTGCTGCGTCCCAGGCCCGATAGCTACAGCGGTACTGTTCACCCGGGCTGATGTAAGGCAGGAGGAATGTGACCTCTGATCCCTCTGCTGGGGCCTGCTCCTCAGCCACAGTGCCTGGGGTACTGTCCCGGTGCAGGATGAACCAGGCACCTGTGAAATCCCTCGGGGCCGAGCAGTGGAGCTGGTACCCACCCTCGGCCCCTGGGGCCTGGTCCCAGAAAATGGATGGCTTGGGCAGGGCTGGAGGGAGAATGGGCAAGAGGGTGGGCATGGCACAGGGGAGGGATGCCCTCAGAACCCCCTGCCCTCCCCACAAGTTCCCTCCTCTGCGCTTCCACGCCTTCCGCCCTTTTTCATAGATCTCCCCATGTCTCCCAGTCCCCCTCCGACCACCTTCTACAGTATTTACAGTTGCCCTGTGGCATCTGCCACAACCTGGCTTCCCCTGCCCCACAGTAGGTTGCGGGAAGGTGGCTGAGCTCAAAGTCAGCAGCCTATTCTTGCCCACCAGACCCTCCTGGGTTCTGCCCCAGAGGTGCAGAACCCAGGAGTCCTAGCTCCCAGCCCCCCCCCCCAGCCCCCGCTTTACCTCCTCTGAATCCAGAATAGAGATAGCACCCAGGCATGCTGGCTTTCAGCCCCCTTACCCTTGCTTGTCTCTCAACTCTAGCCCACTGCACTCCACTCCTCTCCCTGAGCTGGGATAAAACCCAGGAGTCCTGGCTTCCAGCTTCCCTGCTCTAACCCGCTTTTCAGCCATGAGCCAGGGACTCGGAGAACTCACAGACAGTCAAGAGCAGGAGAGGCAGTGTTAGCGGCATGGTGGGCAACAGGAGCCAGCAAAGGGGAACTGGAGGGATAGGATGGCTCTGCAGCACCCGGGACGCTGTCTGCACCCGGCTCCAGGAAATGAGCCATCAACCTCCATGGAAAACTTCCCCATCTGACAGGGGAAGTGGGGTGGCTGGGAACTGACCCACTGCAGGGGCTGGGAGGGAAGGGAGGCTACACTGCTGTCAGTGGCAGTGGCATTAAGATCAGGGCCCTCATGTCTGGGGCTGCACAGATCCTGACTGAAATTGGGACCCTGAGGTGGCAGGACTTGCGCTGTGCCAGGGTGGATTGGGTGGCTTTGCTGAGAGGTTGGACAATGGGTTTGTACAGGATGGCTGAGGTAGGGGCCATCCTGCCTCAGGCAGGGGCTGGGCTGGGTGATCCAATGGAGGCCCCTTCTTCCACTGCTTTTTAATTCTTAGAGGGTCCCTGTAGCCTCGGTCTCCCAGGCTCAGCTGGCAAGGATGGATTGTCCTGCCTGAGGGGGGAAAACTGAGGCATGGAGGGAGCCAGTCTTGTCATTACATGAGGCCTAGGGGCTGCAGCCAGGACTTGATGGTCCCCAAGTCCTGCACCCAGACCTCAGTAAGGAGACTGCCTGGCATGTGCTGTGCCCAACAGTCAGTCCTGGCAGGGGCTGGTGGGCTAGAACAGGGGATGCCTGGTCACCTGGGCTCTCTGGGAGGGCAGTTGTGGCTGCAGAGCTGGATGGCAGGGGCTGGAAGAGAACCCAGGCGTCCTTCACAGATCCTGACTGGGACCAGGTCCACGTCCTGCCAGGGGCAGCGCAGACGTGAGGGCGAGGCCGCAGCAGGTGCTGGTGTTAGGTCTGGGGTCGCATCAGGGTAAGAGGCTGGCTCTGACACAGGGACCGTCCTACCTTGGGTGGGGGTTTGAGCTGGGCGACCTCCGAGGTCCCTTGCAGCCCCGTGGCCCAGGGGGTCCCCGGGCCCTGCTAGCAAAGGACGGATCGCCCTGCCTGGAGAGGGGGAAACTGAGGCACGGAGCCGGGCATGTGTCTCGTCACACGGAGACTCGCGGCTGCGGCTGACACCGCATGGCCCCGAGCCCCGCACCCAGCCCTGGAGACCGAGTCCGCCGGTGCCCCGCGGGCAGCCGGGACGGGGGCTAGAAAAGAGAGCCCAGGCGTCCGGGCTGGGCCCACGGGGAACCCCGAGGCGGTCCCAGCGCCGAAATCCCCGCTGCACTGACTCACTGTAGCCGGCGGAAGAGGGGCCGTACCCCCGGGAAGGGGTGGGGCGATCCCATTGCCTTGGCAACCCTCGCCCCGCCCCCTCCCCGGCCTGGGAGGGAACTCCCCGGACGCCGCGCGGTGGGCGGGGCTTGTCTCCAGACCCTGCTTCCAAGCGGGCGGACCAAGGACGTCCGGGCGCTGGGGAATAGCCGGCGAGATGGTGGTGCTGGACAGTGCGTGTCCGGCCGCGGGAGGGCGCGGGGACGGGGCGCCTGGGGTTTGAGACATTCCCGGGGCTGCGTTAACCCTTTGCGCTCTGCCCGCAGAGATCGTCTCCTTCCTGAAGATGGCGTGGGCCAAGCAGCCCGTCCTCGTCGTCTCCGTCGGCATCAGCAGCGTGGGTGAGCGGCGCGGGCTGGGCCGGGCGTGCGGGGACCCGCGCTCCCCGGCCTCTCGGAGAGGCCCGTCCCGGCCCCGGTCGCAGTGGGAATGCGTGCAGGGCGCCCGGGTTCTCCCAGCGCCGCCCCCACCCCGCTGCCCTCTCCGGGCGGCCCCGCTTCTCCTGCCTGACCCTGCCAGGGCTGACCGCGGGCACCGGCAGCCTCGGCGTCGAGGTCTGGTCACAGCACTCGGAGAGTGTCCGGTCCCGGCTGCAGCCCTGAGGCCCGTATGATGAGACATGGCCCCAAGGGTGGCTTTAGTCCTTCATGTGCTTGAGACCCATGGGGAAGCTGAGGGCTGGCACCCCCACCCCCCCGGGCTGTGAGCCTACTGGGATGCCTGAAGTTTGAAAAGAGGGTGAGAGTGGCTGTGTGGAAGACCGGGCCTCAGCACAGGCCTGGGGTTTTTCCTTTCTAGCTGTTGTGCTGCCCTTTGTCAGCCCCTACGTCAAGTACTCGGAGATGGCCAACAGAGCCACACCCTATGTCTATCCAGGTAAGGGGACCTGGGGCCCCTGTGAAAAGGTCTGTGGGGGGCTGGCGGTGTTTCTTCTGTGGGGCCTCAGGTCTGTCTTGCTCCCTTGCTGGCCAAGTCCTTCCCAACCTCATGGTTGCCTCACTCAGCTGTCTTCTGCCCCTGGGACAGTCTGAGCAGCTCCTGCTCAATGACTGATGCCATGGGCAGAAATGACTTCAGGAGCCCAGGAATCTTGATGTTGCTGAAGTCCAGCCAAGCCTAGCCATTACCCTCTCGCTGCGTGGCTGATTTGCCAGGGAGAAGTACCTCCTTCAGTCCTGTCCCATCCCCACGCCCCACAGTCTGCTGCATCCAGCACAGCACCCCTAGTGCTGGGTACTGGGGTCAGTACTGACTGCTGGGGTGACAGATCACATACTGATTTCCTCCTCCCCCCGACTTACACCCTTGCCCACAGATGCGAGCATACACTCCCTGCCCCCACAAACACCTTCCTGCAACATAGTGCAATGGAGGAGCATCAAGGGAAGGATATTGGGTACTGAGGTCCCTCCCCTACATAGTACAGAGCCCCCCAGGCCTGGTGACCTGGGACAATCCTAGTTGCATGGCGGACAGTCTCCTGCCCCCCAGGTGCTAGGGCAGGGGCATAGCACTGACTGCTGGGGCAAGTATCCCTTGAGCCCTAGGGTTGACTCAGCAGGGTTGCTACCCCTTAAATTCTGCAGCCGTGCATTCAAGTGGCTGCTTTTGCCCCCCCTTCCTCCCAGCCTCCCCCAATTCTTGCCCCTATTCTCAGCTTCCCCTACTTGCTCCTTTGGTCCTCAGTGCCAGTACGAGATGATGGGAACATGCCAGACACCCCTTCTCACCCCTGTGACAAGGAAGGGCCCAGCTTGGAGTGGCTGAAGAATATGTGAGGTGCCTAGTAAGGGCGAATTGGTGGCCCCTTGGTGAAGTTGGTTGTACAGCCAGAGCATCGCGTCAGTGCTGTCTGCTGCCCCCTTTCTGGTCATGAATAATTAAGTGTTTGGTTTGTCCTTCTTGTTCACTGATGTAATAAATATTTGACTTCCAGGAAGAGCATGTGTTGTGTGAGTGAAGGGGGACTGTAGCAGCCCCTTGTTGTCTTCCGCAGCTGGGGCTGTGGCATTCTTTCTACAACCTCTACAGCAGCAGAGGTTAAAATCAGGTCCCCTTTAGATTTGGATAAGGGTGCTGAGCCCACGGGCCAGAGCCAACCTATAGGGCTCCCAAGGGGTCTCAAAATTTGGTGGCAGGGGAGTGATGGCACCATTCCCATTGCCAAATTTGCAGATCTGTGGGAACTTAGACCCTATGTGCTGGGGATGGGAGGGGACATTGCTGGGCTCCCATGGCCCAATCCTATCATACAGCAGTGGGTGGCAGCAGTACTGGGTCCCTGTAGCCCAATCCCAGAATGTGGGAGGGGTGACACCAGGCCCCTGGAGCCTAATCCCAGTAGGAGAGGATGGTGCCAGGGCTTGATCCTAGTGTGCAGGGCAGGAGGTGGCAGCACTGGGCTCAATCCCAGCATGTGAGGTAGCTCTCTATCTGGCCCTCCAAGTTACTCATCTGACCTGTGGGGCTAGAAGGTTGAGCACCACTGGACTAGGGTGTTACATCTTGTGGTTGCAGTCAGCCCTGACACACAGTTTTTTGTTAAGAGGTTGGACAATGCATTTGTACAGGATGGTTTGGATGATCCTGCTTCAGGTAGGGGGATGGCTTAGATCAGTGGTTCTAAACCTTTTTTGTACCAGGACCAATTTGTAAATATCAATGGCCAGTCCAGATCCAGTGCCCCCTCACTCCTGACCCACTGCCCCCTGCTCCCCAGTGTGTGGGGAAGAAGGTGGGTGTGAGAGGTAGGGTGGGAGAAAGGGCCCAAGCAGCCCCTTGCAGGCTGGAAGTCTGCCAGCCTGCAAGGGAAAAGCCAGTTTCCCACACTTTTCTCCATTTTGTTGTTTGTTGATCCATTTTTAAAGTTTGTTTGCAACCCTTTCATATATTTTTGTGACCCACTCTTGGGTCATAGCCCACAGGTTGAGAAACACTGGCCTAGATGACCTCTGGAGGTCTCTTCCAGTCCACCTTCTCTATGTGGATTTTTACTGTGGCTTTATCCCTGCAGGGAGCTGGGACTAGCACCCAGCTTGGCTGCCTTCCATTCTTCTCCCTTCCCTCTCTCCTGTCCCATCTCCAAAGACAGTGGTGCCACAGGAGGGCTTCAAATCTTAAAACAAGAGTCCCATCAGGCACAGAGTTGCCACACCAAAACAAAAGGACCAGAGAGACCGTAGAGCCACGCATAGAACCGAGGAGTCCTGACTCTTAGATCCCACTTGCGAGCTGGGGAGAAAACAGATAACGCAGCTTTCAGTAGCCCTGTCCCTGCTCTTACTACCGTCTTCCTTTCCCTTCTCTTGAGCAAGTGGGAATACTAGAAGCCTGATTCCAACCAAATGTCCTGTGTCCTGAAACAAGACCACACTATTCCTCTTCAGGGCATGTCCAGCTGGACTCCCAGCTTGGGGAAGGCAGTGGTGGATTAAAGCCTACTATAATAAGCTAGATCGGAGGGAGCGTTACATGCTTTTAAGCCATTGTCCAGTCACAGCATCTCTTTATTGTACTGGGATTGAACAGACACCAGCTCCTTCTGCCACAGACTTCTATGCCTAAAGTAACTGCAGGTTCAGAATCTCTGAGAGTCCAGGTGGTGACTGACCTATGAGCTGTCCCCACCTTCTCCCAGCTGGCTGCACAGTCTGTTGCTCTCTTCCTATCCCTTAACCCTCAATCAAAGCAGAGTTACTGGTACAGGAGGAGTTAATATCCAGGCTTGTAGGAAGGGATGCCAGTTCCCTGCACTAATTCTCCTTTAGTCCTCCATGGGGTGATGCCAACAGCCCAGTCACTTCCAGGGAGACTCAGTCAAAATCAGAGCAGCCCCCAGGGCTAGAGAACTTGGGATAGTGAAGCATTTTGTCAGGAGGGCTGGGCTGGTTCCAGCTGGGGGCAAGGACGTCGTCTTGGCTGCATGGAAAGTCATCCTCTGCTTTGACCTTGAAGAGGGAGATGTGTTTCAAAGAAGTAGCCTCTGTGGGCCCATCCAGCACCATATCCCCCCCCAGTAAGACCTGACAAACCCACAGGTCCACTTAGCTGCCTCCCAACAGGCCATTCTCTACTACACCCCTTATGCCCCAGCAGCAGGATTCAACTGTGGGAGCAAAGGCAGGGAACCAGGCCAGTACCTGGACAGGAAAGTCATCCATGGTGAGGAGGGAGGGGGCTGTCCGCCGGCCCCTCTGCTCCTTGTCCTCACGGCCATGTCGCCGCCGCTTCTTCCCGCTGGGGGCCTCTGCAGGTGAGGCGCTTTCAGGCTCCAGGCCAGTTGGTGGGGGGCCAGGAAATCGCCGGGGGGTCTCTTTTTCAGGAGGCTCATTCTCTGTGTTTCCAGGGGTTGGCACATCTGTGCTGTGGCTGCCTTCATCCTGGGTGCAGAGAAAGCAGGGCTGTTTGAAGTAAGAGGGAGGGAGAGTTTTCCTTCCAGTGATGGGATGATAATGTACAAAGCCAACAATCACGCATAATGCCTGGGGATGAAACAACTCCGAGAGCCCTCCCCATCCCCATACTGTGGGGAGAGGCATTGCCTACCTCGAGGACGATGGTGAGCTGGCTTTGTCTGTAGTCATCTCCATAAGAATCCAGGATTTTCATGAGGTACCTGCGGGGGATGTAGAGCAGTTGTGAGAGAGTCACCAACACCAGGGCCTTCCTGCAGCGGCCACTGTTTGGACACAGACTGGCAGAAATCAGGGCCCTGTTGGGCTGGGCACTGCCTAGGCCCAGAGTTGCTAAGTGTACTTGTTCACAAACAGGTCAAAGAACCAGCAGTTAGCAAAAGGGATACCAGTGAGTGCCCCATTAGCTGCAGCTGTCACAGGCCTTTGCTGACACCATGCAGACCCCATAGCAGTGGGCACAGGCAGGGAGGGACCTGCCTCCTCTGAAGCTGGGAGCTGGCTGCACCCTCACCTCCTCTCCTGCTTGAGGCGCCGTGTTATCTTCTGCACATGGTGGAGTCTGTTCAACACCCTCTCGTTGACCTGGAGTCAAGGACACAGGCATGCATGAGGCCTTCAGCTACCCTTTGATCTGGACCTGCCTCCTGTCCTAGCAGGGATGGCTCTGGTGTAGGAAACCTAATGGACTCTTATCTATGGGGTCTGGAATGCAGCTACCTCCAGTGATACAAGTCATGGAGAACAGTAGGTGCCCATTTCTCACCAACCTCAAAAAGAGGCTGGGACAATGACTGGTAGGGAATAACTGAGGTGTATCTATGCCTATGTTCTGTTGTGGGGATTTCCCTGGCTTCTGGGCTTTGCCAATTGCCCTCTCCCTGCCTTTCTGCTAGGAGACTGGGAGATTGTTACCTTCCTTTGTAGCAGTGACGCAGCCTCTACCTGGGATCTTAAGAGCGCACCTTTTACCACAGCAGGACGTTGGCTGCTGTGGTTCCCCTGCTTGACCTGTGGCAGGTTTGGGTGTGATGCCTGGTGTTACGTCTTCCCTCTGCTGAGAGGTCAAGGTACGGGTGTGTAGGGGGTGGCATAGACGGGGCTGAGGTTACCCCAGGCGAGGGCTGGAGCAGGTGTGACTGCAGGGATCCGGCTCAGCCCCGCTTCTCTGCCATGACTCTGTGAGGTGCTGTGAGCACTCAGCTCCCCGGGGCCAGGCCTGGAAAGCAGGAGGTCCTGAGCATCGAGACAAGATGGTGTGAGGGGGGGCGGCTGCTGCCCCAAGACGGGCCCGGCCGCACCTGCTCGATCTCCCGACAGCGGCGGCCGAGCGCCTGCACCTTCCTGCGAGCCAGCTCGCGCTGCCGCTGCAGCGCCTCTTCCTCCTCGTCCTCGGGCAGCGCGTCCCCGCTCAGGCCACCATCCACGAACTCCACCTCGGTCTCCAGCTCGCTTTCCAGGATGTTGCCCCCGAAGAGCGGCGGAAGCGCCAGCTCCGAGCCCGGCGGCGCCGAGAACTCCTCAAAACCCACCCCAGCCATGGTGCGTCGGCTCGGGGGACGGGCGCCCGCTGATGACACAAAGGGGCAGACGGACTAGGCGCGCACTGATGGCGCACGTGGCGTGTCGGGGCCGGCGTGCAGTGAAAATGCAAGAGGGGGGTTGTTAGAGGCGCGCACTAATGATGCAGGACGAGCAGTGTTGGATCAATGCGCGCTGGTCGGGTTAGGCGTGCGTTGATGACGTATAACCTAGGGAAATGGGCACGCACTGATGACGCATGGGGGGTCAAAGGACGGGAGCGTACACCGATGACATCACACGAGGGATATTTGGGGCGCGCACTGATGACTGATTGCTGTCGCGTCATTAGCACGGGTCCTGGAGGAAGTGACGCGTGAGCAGCGGGGATCGGCGCTGGGAGCACTAGGAACGGAGCGGTGCAGGTAGGGCGGGGCGCAACCGGGCGCGTGGCCTCTCCCCTCCCCTCCCCTGTCGCTGCTTGTAGGGCCGCCCGTGCCCGGGAGCTTGGGCAGGGGCTGGGCAGCGCCGGGCG